GAACCTGTAGGAACTGAGCTCCAGCACCTGTCCTTGTTCCATCGGATAATGTGGCTTCTCAGACTCAGACTTCACACCCCTGGGGGAAGCCCAGAAATGAAAGATGCCTGCTGGGGGCACACTGCGCTCCTCACAAGGTGATGAACGTGTATGCAAGAAACACAGCTAAACATAGAGGCTCCCATCCCATGAATAATGGGGAACACAACGGGAGTTTCAAGAGTGTAGTCTTTTTTTTTTTTTGTATTAAATTCTTTTATTGGTACATTGTAGGTACACAACACAATTACAATTCTCATTGGGAATTGTACCTTTATATAATGCATCTTGGTTCTTACTTTTTCCCCCTTCCTAGCCCTCCCTTCACGCCCTCCACCTTCCCTATTTACAAAGACTTTGTTTCCATTTTTTCCATTTCTCATCAATTTTCCTTTCCCTTCTTGCCTTTCCCCTGGCCATCCCACTTCCTTCCCCTTTGCCCCTTTTCTTCCTATTTCACATTACCTATTATACATTTAGTCCTTATTTACACTTTCAGTTTCTCACACCAGAGAAACTATTCGGTATTTACACATGTGTGTCCTATTTATTTCACTTAAAAGTATCACCTCAATGTGCATCCACTTACCTATAAATGTCTCTAATTTCTCATTTTTTATGGCTGAGTAGTACTCTATTCTATAAAAAAAACACATTTTTCTTTATCCAGTCTCCAGTTGATGGGCATTTGGGCTGTTTCCAAGTTTTAGCTATTAAAAACTGCGCTGCTATGAACATGGGTGGACACAAGAGTGTAGTCTTTAGATGCTTCAAGAAGGTGTGTTGCTGTACTGAAGAGTCGAGCTTGGATAGGTGGTTGGGAGTTTGCAGGACAGACATCAAACATTATTTTTCCCAGCTCAACTTAAAGGACTTTGAAATAAACATACAAAAGTGTGTATGTGCACAGATGCATGTTAAATACAAAGGGTGATCAAAATATATGGCAAACAGGGCCGGGGATTTAGCTCAGTGGTTCTGCAACCTGCCTCACAAGCACAAGGTCCTGAGTTTGATCCCCGGTACCAAAAAAAAAAAAAGAAAAAAAATATATATGGCAAACATTTAAATTTTAAAAATTACAGTAAAAGACACATTATCATTAATCCTCCTCAAAATACTTCTGCTCACTTTGAACACACTGAACCCATTGTTCTTCTTTCTGAAGCGATTCTGGAAGTTCTCTTTGTGAGTGTCTTTACGAGGTGTGATGAAAAATTTCTATATACATACAGTGAGTGCTTCTGCCAAGTGCCAACCAATGGAAAGGCAGACTCATAAAAACATTACGGGAGCCCTCATCAACCTGATTCACTGGATTTGGGGCCATGCAACTTCTGGCTGTTTTTCAAAGTAAATGTTTTCAGGTCATTTAGTCTACCATAACAGAGCAACTAAAGAGCCCCATGAAAGAAGACATTCAGAACTGCTTCAGAAAGTGGCAAGAATGATGGGACAAGTGTAAGTGTATTCAAAGTGAGGGGAAGTATTTTTGAAGAGATTAATGCAATGCATCTTATTTTACCGTAATAATTTTTTTAAAATTTAAATATTCATTGCATTTTTCTATCACACCTCATAGTTTTGTCTACTTTGTGCATTAATTACTGTATTCTTAATGCATAAAAATGCCTAGTGTATGATTCAATATAAATATGTATTGAATTAATGGAATTTCCCCAAAGAACAATATTGGACATACCAGGTACTGAATTCCTCATCGGCAGATTTTTGGAGCCCAGAGTTATGAGCATGAATTGTTACCCTTGGGAGGAAGGTATACAATAGCTAAGTAAGCCAATCTCTGGGTACTAGGCACCACGGTAAACACTTTACAATCATTTATCCCTCACCAGAATGGTATCCATTAAGCACTATCGATATTGGCATTTCACAAAAGTAGAAAATGAGGTTTGCAGGGGGAAGGCCATGCGTGAGCTTACAGGTATTAAGTGGTAGTGCTTGGATTTAAAACCCAAGCTTTCATTAACTTTAAGCTATGTGACCGGCTACACCAGATAATCACCAAGTTCCTTTCCCATGATATTACATACTCTGTTTCTAAATCTAATACCTACACTGAAGACTAATGCCCTGAATATGGGAAAGGTTCTTCCCAAACAAGCACCAGTTTCCATGGAAAGTGTAAGCAAGGCTATTGGGCCTCAAGGCATTTTTGGGTTCTAACATCACTGTTGAGATAAAGTCCAGAATCCTTCGCATGACATTTAATACCCAGTGGCCTTCAGTATCTGTGGGAATGGCGTGCAGGACCCCTTGCTGGCACCACATTCTGCAGACACCCAAGTCTCTTAGGGTTCACCTGCAACCTGCGCACCTCTCCCATATACTTAAACTATCTTTAGATTACTCATGGCACCGAATACAATGTAAATGCCATGGAGATACCTGTTCTACTGCATTAGGATAATAAAGACAAAACAGTCTCTACATGTTCAGTAAAGGCACAACATTTTCCAAACATTTACAATCCAACCTCATATTTTTGCATACTGAGATACTTTTGTCTGTTTATTTCTCCCTATTTTCAATCATGTTCTATGTCCATCCCGATTGTTCATTGGTCAGTCCCTGCATGTATCCATCCACTAGGTACATATCAGGAATGTGGTGATTTCCCTAACTCTCCCACGTATATGTACGTTACAGTATCACAGATGGAAACAAATGAGTGAACCTATCTAATTCCTAGTCATCGTGTAGGATAGAGATGAAATGATTCCATCTTCTATGAAGCAACCGTAAGTATTACGATCTCTTGTTGTCTAACTTGTCTTTCCTTCTTAGAGTAGTATGGGCTATTCCTGTGATGGCGAACCTTTTAGAGACCGAGTGCCCAAACTCGGTGCGGTGTCAATACTGCAATTAAGCCTGAATCCTGAGGTTTTAGTTTCGAGAAAAACAAATATTATCTGATGCTTGGCTGCTGGGGTGACTTGGCCTGGCTGCTGACAGAGGCCTCTATGTGCCCACTGTGGCACGCATGCCATAGGTTCGCCACCCCTGGCCTGTACCATAATCAATACACAACAAAAATCTCACTTCAGTTCTGAGTTGTGTTCTAAAGTCAGCATGAAAGGGAATAGTCAAAATCGACCTTACAAATCCCCTAGGAAGACAGTGCCATGTTGGAGACTGATCACTGTCCCCAGGTGGAGAGGGCTTGCTGTTTCCTTGTTTAAAGTACCAAAGAAGTTGTCTTAGAGTAAAGAGGTGGGGAAAGTGTACATCTAGTTAAACCTACAATCAGAGTGTACTCACGCTGAGATGTTCGCAGTGTGACAAGAGATGACCTAGATTACACCTCAGCAGAGTACACCATCCTCTCACAGGGTCACGTGGGGACCTCCGCTCACTAGGAAGTCGTGCAGGCCATTGCTGAGCAACTCATGTTATCTTCTGTCTTTCACGTAAATGCACACAGGATGCTGCCCTGCTTGCTCACCTCCTTCTGTTACTCAGTTCTTTCAAATAGATAATTAAACTAGGATTCCTGGAGCGCATGATTTCTAGCACTACACAGTCAGACCCTTGTTGAACAAGATCATTTTATCAATCCCTTGGTGTACAAGATTCTCCATGAAGTGGTGCCTGTCTATTCTCCAACCCCACTTCCATACTTGCTGTATTCGAATTCTGCTGAACCCTTTCTCCCTCCACAAATAACACAGGAAACTTCACACTCCCTGCCTCTACTTCTCGTGACCTTTCCTGTGCCACCCAGCACAATGTCCTCAATATCCATTCCAAGCATTTCTCTCTCAGTAGCAGGGTGAATGGCTTCGTGCCTCAATTTTCACCCCTTCGAGCTCTTTGTCCTTGGCCATGCCTGCCTTCAGTGCCCTCTCACTTGGCCACGTGAGCACTTTGAGCAATAGGATGTTAGTGGTTGTGACCCAGAAAAGGGCTTCAATAGCACACGAGCACTTACGCTGCTAGGCTTGTCCTGGTGTTGTGTTGCCCCTGCTACAACTCTCCTGGGCTAGTCCTCTGGAGGACAAGATAGATGGTACCAAGTTATGATGTCCAGTCAGCCCAGCCCCAAAGCAATCCTAGATCAGCCAAATGCAAACTCTCCTCTAGACATGTGGCATCGCAGCCAGTGCCGGCAAAGCTGCCTGGAAAGCCTGTGGCTGACTGCAAATCCAGCTGCCCCTGGCCCAACTCAGTCGCACCCTTGACTCACATCATATAGGCTGCTGGACTTGGTAATCACGAAGGAATATGGCTGTAGCAACAGATAACTTATACTGCTCTAAAGACTTCCCCGACCTTCTCAAGGAAATGTGACCCCTCCCTCATTGCTACAAACCTATAATCTTGTGTTTCTTCTATTACAAATGCAACACGCTGGACTGTTATAAACATCAGACAGATGAAACAGTAATATGACCATTTGTTTTTTAGTTTAGTTCTCCTCCTAAGACTTGCCTTCTTGCAAATAAGAACATCATTCTGAGGGAGGTGAAGTTTAGAGTCAACACTCTGAGCACCTATGGGTTGGACTCCTGCACAGCAAATGGCAAACTTTCAGAAGCCAAGGGTCAGGAGCTGTAAGGTGAGCGTGGGAGCAGTACTGATGCAGTCATCTGGAGACAAGCCCAGAGGACATCTGTGAAAAGGATGACACCCCAAATGGTCGAACAGACATTATGTGGGTGAAGGATTCTTGACCTGCCCTTTCCTGGCAAAGTTCCTAGGAGGAGTGCACCAGAAACATGTCCTTCTTCCCATCGCCAATTCCAACAGCACAGCTGCCTGGAGCATTCTTTAAACCCTCACTGGGTTTATGACTAGGGAAGCTGATGTTTCAATTTACTGACCCCCTCTGTATTTGCAAATACACTCTTCCCGCAACCTTCTGAGCAACACAGACACTTGGCTTGTGGTTAGTGCCTGCTAGGGGCAGGATCCGAAGCAGTGCCGGAGCATGTACTCACCTCTCCAGAGGACAGAGGGATTCTTTCATGTCTGCTGCAAAGGCAAGAGGCAGAGTGAGAAAGAGGCACTGGCTGCAGCCTGCTGAAGTGAGTAGTATTCACGACGCGACCTACCCCGAGACCTGGTGGGCAGGGGCAACTCATCTGTGACCCCGGGGGGCTCCCTGTGCCTGCACCTCAGCTGTCACCCGCACTTTAGGGCGTTCGCGCAGGGGTGCAGTCTCCTGCATGAGACTTTGGCCGCCTGGAGGGTAGGGGCCTCTGCGGGTCCTTTCTTTACCTGTCTGCTACAGAGCAGGGCACTGCTCTTCCTATCGCTCACTGTTCTCACCCTGGTCCTGTGAGACTGGAAATATCATCATTTCCACTTTACTGACAAAGAAAAAGGCTCAGTGAGGACAAGGCCCAGACTTAAATAGCTAGGGGTGGGGAGCTGGGATCTATGAGGCCATTTCATTTCAAATACTTGGTGCTTTCGCTCACTGCTCTCAGACAACCGTCTTCCCCTTCAGAGAATCAGCCTCATGCTTGAGTTATTAACATTTATAAAACCCACTCTTAGCCTTCTTTGATGTGCAGAGAGCCATGATACTAAAGTAAACTTAGGAGAACTCTGTCCTTCTACGTAGGATTTTCTTCCCCAGTGAGACATAAGATGGATTGTAGCACTGGTTCCCCCAGTGTGGTTCCCAGGCCCAGCAACAGCAGCATGTTTTGACTCATTGAAAGGCAAATTATCAGGTTCCAACCCAGGCCAGCTGAGTATGAAATGCCGGAAATAGAGTCCAGTGATCTGAGTCTTAACAAGTCTTCTTGGTGATTCTGAGGCATGCTTGAGAACCACCGAGTTAGAGAAACTCAACAGGAAGTTGCCCGAAGCAGTCAAGTGAGCCGTCAGAGACTGCACTAGCTCTCTCTCTATACCATCTGTGGGTGGCAATGGCTGCATTCCCACACAGGGCCCCCAAGGTGTGTTCTCCTGTCACTGAACGCAAGCCAGGTGTTCAAAGTATCAACAAGGCCAGAGAGTAGTGGGAGGTGTGGATGAGAACTGTTCCTTTCAATAGCAGAGCAAGACTCAAAGTGGGGCAGAACAATGGGTTCCAGAGATGTGGCACTACCTCCAAGGGACCCAGGAGGGCAGGAGCCATCACTTAAGACCCTGATGGCCTCTGGAAGGACCTCGGGTCAAGTCTGCACTGGCTCGTTCCCTCTAGCTCCCACCTCCCTTGTCCTGCATGATTGTGTTGACAACACAGGCTTTGCAGGGAGCACCAAGGCCCACTGGCTCCGTGCTCAGTGACTTTGTGTTCTCTTCCTCTTGGATGGATTCCCAGTCGATCCAGTGCAGCACTCTCAGGGGAAGCAGGTGGCCTGGGAGTGACGGGCCAAGTCCCGCAGCTTTGTTATTCAGCAGGTAAACTGCTGGGACTGTGTGAGAGCTCAACAGTGATGAACATCCGGCCCAGGAAGGGGAAGAGTGGCAGTGCCACATTACCTGGGAGTTGATGCCAAGGGAGGGACACCAGGGCCTAGGCCTGCAGAGCACAGGCCGTGCAAGGGCCCCATGCATCTCCTTACCTTTGTATTGGGCCTTGGAGAGAGCAGCTGGCTGCCTCTGGAAGGCCTGGAGGTCTACAGCTGGCGGCTTCAGGGGCTTTGGGGGAGCCGGACCCAGAGACCCCACAGGGGGCAGTGGCTTTGTTCTGGGGAGCTGGCGATGCTGCGTGTCTGGCGGGTTTGCTGAGCACAGACAGGAAAGTGCAGGTTATGGTTTCCATTGCATGATGGGTTCTCTGGCCTGGGTCTCGCTCCCGGCCCATCTGCATGCCAGTCAGCAACCGGGGTACCCAGGCCCCTGCAGCTCACCCGCCTCACCTGACCTGCTGTCCTGACCCCCTCACCAAGACCCTTTGCTCCAGCACTCAGCCCCTCCTGCCATACGGCATCATCTTTCCCCAGCCTGAATGGAGCCCAGACGGCCTTCACCTCATCCCTGAGCTCCTCTTCCCTTGGAGACCATTCATGCCATTCCTGGTTCTGGGACGCTATTCTCTCTCTTGCAAGCTTCAACTCTTTTGGGGATTGAAGTGTGGGCCTTTGCACTGAGCTAACCCCCCCCCCCCCCATTTTGTCCTTTTCAATTTTGAAACAGGGTTGGTCTCACTAAGTTCTCAGTTGCCCAACTTGGGATCAAACTTGTGATCCTCCTGCCTCAGCCCCCCAGAGTGTTGCGATTACAGGCTTGTGTCCTCTTGACCTGCCTTCAATTCATTCTATTAAAGCTCTGCTCCAGTGACATTTCCTCTGGATAACTTTTCTTGATTTCTCTGGAAATCAAGGCCAGAATTACCCACTCTCTGATTTGTACCCCATAGCCATTGCTAATACCCCTTTGTCAGTGCTAGCAGGGAGACTGGTCTCTCTTCCCTGTGACCAGAGGGTCCCACAGGCAGGGAGTGTGTCCTGTTTAATCTCCCAGGGTCTGCTCAGAGGGGACAGAATGACTATCCCCCGGGACAATTCTTCAAGCACTTAGGATGTGTGAATAACACAGGAGCTACAACAAGGAAGAAAATTTGATCTGATTTCCAGGGCTCATAGCCTAGAACCAGCTTCAAAGTTGCCTTTGTGATTCTTGGCCTTGGTGAGTTTTATGTCCTAGAATTTTCTTTTAAAGTCAAAATTGTATAGTTTGTCCTTCTGCACTCGAAATCCAATTTCAACAGAAATTCCAATATTACACGTGAAAAATCATATCTGCTCCTTACACTGAAAAATAACACAAAAAGTTCTCATATAATCCAAGGGCCTTGATATTTGGTTTGCAGAATATCGTAATTGACCCTAGGGACCATCCATACTAAAACTCAGTAAGCAGGTCAGGTCCTTGAATTATGGCTCTGACTCTCCTCTCCTGTCCTTTTCAAAGTGGCAGTAGGAGGGCAGCTTCCTTCCTGCTCTACTCACAGCTCCAGATGCTCAGGGTAAAATTCTTCCCTTCCGAGGCTTTAACTCTAAGTCCAACTATCAGTTTTTATCAAATTAGGAGAAGACGATGAAAATGACCTATCACTTACTAACTGGGCTTCTAATTTTTACCAGGCATTATGCTAAGCAATTTACAGTTATTTCACTTAACTCTCTCAATAATTCCATTTTGTTTGCATCCATCTTTCCTTCCTTCCCATCCCTTCCTCAGTAACTGTTTCTTTATTGTATTCTTGGTATTGTTCTAGGACCTGGGGATAGGATAAATGCACTCCTACCCTCAGGAATTTCTATTCTAATAGGAGGAGACTGATGGTCAACAAAGAACAAATAAGCAAGATAACTCAAGGGAGATGTCTGGTTCTCTTGCCTCAGTTGACTATGGCTAGTGGGCTAGGGAAAGAGAAGTAGAAGAAGGTCTGAGACTTAGCAAAGTCCAGAATCATGGCCATAAAAACTTCAGTAAGTAGTTTAGCCTCTAATTTAAGTACATAGAGAAATCAAGGAGGATTGTAAGCAGGAAATCCATCCAATCATTCAGTAGATCTTTTTTTGAGGAAATGCTCAACCTGGGCTTGTACCTTGTTCTTCTGGGGATAGGGTGGCAAGGAAGACAATCTTTGATCTCTTTTAATTTACTGAGGCAACTGAAAAAGTGCATAATTTTATATCAGGTATAGGGATAAGTGATATGAAGAAAACCAAAACAATTTGGTAGCTACTTCACATAGAGTAACCAAAAGATCCACTGGGCAGGTGACACTTGAGCCAAGGCTTTGATGAAGGGAAGGAGAGAGACATCAAAGACCTGGTAGAAGAGTCTCCAAGGCCGAGGAACTGACGGGAGCAAAGACCTGGGTGGAACCTGCTTGGTGTATATAAGGACTAGCACAGCGCTTGGCGAGAGAGTGGAAAAGTAGGGTACAGACCAGATCTCACTCTTAGATGGCTGGAGTTTACCTTGAACAGGAGAGGGACATGCTCTGTTTCATGTAGAGCAGACCTGTCCAACCAATAGGCCTGCAGGTCACACATGGCCCTGGGCAGCTAGGAATGCAGCCCTACAAGATGGTAGGCATCAGTTTTTAACATTATGATGTTGATTTTTTAGTGATTTTTTTTTAATGACTCAGTTGCACAGCATGGATGGCATAGGAACAGAATGGCAGATAGGGGAGGGCACAGTGCAGTGTCAGCTCCGCCTCCTGTGCCTGCCACACACAACCAGCCCAGTGGAAACGCATGTGTATCAGACATCACATGCAAGTGAAAGAGTGATATCTTTGTTGCTATTGTTGTTGCTTTGAGACAGAGTCTCGCTTTGTAGTGCAGGCTGGCCTTGAGCTCACTATGTAGCCAAGGCTGGCCTCAAACTCATGGCAATCCTCCTGCCTCAGCCTCCTGAGTCCTGGGATTACAGGTGTGTGCCATCACACTCAGAGAAAGAGTGATTTCAACCTACCTATACTTGTGTGCTCTGTGAAGACAGGCATTTATTGTTATTAAGCAAACATGTAAGTTTTCTTATTTAATAGAACTCAGGCTGGCTGTGTTATTTTGTAAAATAACTTAGTAACTTCAAATAGTTTTTTTTTTTTAGCAGCTGTGGTACAGAAGTATGAAAAGGTATCAAATAGATTTTGGTCATGATAAATTGTTATAATTACATCTATAACACTAATACTAGAAATGTTAATACTAGCAGTGTTATAACACTAGAAACGTTACTCTGCAATACCAGAAATGTTATAATAAAAATATGAAAAATAAAGGACGTTTCATTATTTACATGTACTGACTATTCAAGTATGTCCAAACTACAGGTTGGACACACTTCTATTAGTAAAAAATATATATATATTTTGGTACTGGGGATTGAACTTGGGACTCTGCGCTTGCGAGGCAGGCAGCAGAACCACTGAGCTAAATCCCGGGCCCACTAAAAATATTTTTTAAAGGCTGCCTTATTTATATATGTTTACTACATTGCATATTTTATACACGGCCCAACACAATTCCTCGTCATTCAGTGCAGCCCAGGCAAGCAGAAAGGTTGGCACCTGTACCTCAGAGGCCACTTTCCCTAGAGATGGAGGACAGAACACACACGGGCAAGAGCGGGCAGGTGGGGAGACCCAAGGGCGACTGCAATAGCCCAGGTAAGAGACAGAGGCGCTGTGGACAGGAGTAGGAGCAGAGGTAGAGAGAAGTCAGAGAGCTCCAAACATACGGGACTCTCATGGTGGGACCCAGAACTTGCTAGTGGATTTGGTGCACAGAGTGAGGGCAGGGAGGATGACAGCATCAGAGGGGACTGTTGTGCTGCAGACAGAATTCTGGTGACACGTCTGATGTGTAGGCGAGTAGACTAGGCTCTAAGAAGTTTGCCAATTGCCCAAGCTCATGCAGCTCGTAAGAAATAAAACTAGGAGTTAAGTTCAATCTTGCCCGAACAGTTTTGCAATGTAATTCTGGGAGATGAAGCACTTTATACAGACTTGAATCTAAGATTTATCAGGTAGGCCCACAATTCCCGGGCTGCATTGCCCAGGTCACACACAAGACCATTCCACTTCAACCCAATGAGCCCTCCGCCTGGTCCACAGGGATTCCTTTCCTTACCTGGGGCTGGGATGGCCAGCTCACATTCATAAACAGGCTGGCAGGGACCACCTGCTGAGTTCCCTTCAACACTGGGTTTTTCTTGGTTCTTCTCGCCAGCTTGAGAACATGGAGAGGGGGGTTGTTCACAGGTGGCGAGTGCTTTTCTTTGGGCCAACTCCTTCTTGGAAGGGAGTGTCAGGGCCCATTTTGTTTGAATCTTTTCCCTTGGTCTATGTGGAAGAAACTTTGTGCTTTTCTCCTCTTCTGGATGGAAGGCTTTACCCCCACCGTTGGTAAGGAGAAGAGCTGAGAACGTCACACTCTTCTGAGATGAAACTTTCTCCCACTTCCTGAGCTTGTCTTGAAAGCTGTTGGCCACTGTTCCTTTTTCCTCACTGGTCATCTCAGTATTGGATCGATTCACATCTAAGAGCAGAGAAGCTTCCTGGGAATTTCTTGGAGAACACACAGCAGGGTTTTCCAAAAGTCCTGGGAAACTTGGGCTCTTCTGAATTTTACTCCTCTGGGTCAACTTCATTTGCTGGGTTTTAGGAGTCTGGGACTCACCAATGGAGCCATGTGATGGTGGCCAATTGTGGTTGGATGGGAGGGGTTTCCCATGGGCCAAAATCTGGGGGGGCCTTGTGCATCCGAAGTCACCCTTTTGAGAAACACTTGCTGGTAATTTAATAGGTCCTAGAAGAGGCAGAGCATCACAGTTTTGAAATTTGGCTCGAAGTTCCTTGAAGTTTCTTACCCCTTCCTAAAGCATAAGAGAAAACAAAAGTGAGTCATTATTCTAGGAAAAGATCCAGCCTGACCAGCTGACATCACAGGACACACAGATGGGCTCAGATGGCTGACAACACTGCCATTGCTGACCTGGAGTACAATGTTAGCCAGTAATGCTCCTGTCTGTGTGAGAGCAAAGCAGTATTCTCCTCTTTGATATGTTTCAGTTGTATTTAATTTTTTCGCAATTTCCAGAATGAAGAATACTGATAGACAGTACTAACTATTGCTGGCAAACCCCTTGATACAAACTGTTGATGGCTTGTCATTGCCTACAAAAATAAATTACAAACTGCTGCGTACAGCAAGGTTCTTCATAATGTGGTCCCAAGGAACTCAGAAGACAGTGGAATTGTGATCGCCAACCACAGCAAAACACAACTGCCCTTATATCAATCAGGCTGTTTATAATTTCCCAAGCAACCATGCACTATCCACCACCCTAGCTTTGCTTATATGTTCTTGCATCACAAGTCACTGCCCATGTACTTGGCAACGGCTTTCTTGAGTTTCAACGTCCCTTTCCATCAAGCATTTCTCCAGGGAAGACACAGAAGAGCCAGCAGCTTCCTGCCTCTTTGGTTCTGTTGAACTTAACATGGTAGAGTGGAGAAAATCACAAACTTTGGAGCTAAATAGGCCTAGGTTCAAATTCTGAACCTGCCCTGGACCATCTAGACAAATACTCTGGGAAACACGGTCCTACCTGGAAGTGTAGTTGCATCCCAAGTAATGGAAAGATTGGGCTTAAACCTGTCAAGGATCAGCATAATGCCTGATGATGCATAGCAGGCCCGTGGTGAATAAAGCTATGAAAAATATGTAATGATGAATGGCTAGATGATCATGCTGTTTTTTAGCTGCCCATGGGAAGCCTGATCTTCTAAGTTCAGCTCAAGTTCAGGATATGGAAACGGTGGCGGTTATGGCAGCCTAGTCCTGAGCGCCCAGGCCATATGGGAAGTGGTGGGTGCTCCAGGCAGTGGGAGCTCCTTCTTGGTGCTCTTCCCACTGTCCCCTTTCTCCTATTAGATCTCCTTTATTGTTGTAAGTGCCTCTGGTCATCTTTTGCCTTCACAGGAGGAGGTTGGAGAACAACTAATGGAGCCCTTTCAAAAAGCAAGAGCCACTATCCTCTCCTGATCACATGGCAGGTTTTAAATTTCATGTACACAGCCCATCTCTGTGGCAGTGGCTTCTAATCTGCCAGCTGAGGGAATGTGGGGTGACCTTTCCTCACTGTGTTTACAGGTGACTCACACCTGCCCTGGGAGGATTTAGGAAGGGGAGGGGTTTAAACGCGAAGCATAAGCAGGTGTCTGGGAGCGAGCTTGCAAGTTCTAGCTCTATTTTTCTTCCTTTGTCTCTTTCCCTCTTTTACTCACACACTCACCCATGCACACATTTATAGCTCTCTCCACAAATTGCCAATTTCTGGTTCCTTATACTTCTGGCAGCAGACAAGTTAGTTCAGCTACAGCACCCCTCCCGGATGTGGCAGAAGCCTGCACCAGGCTGGAGCCGGGGTGCCTGAATGTAAAGCTCAGCTCTGGTTTTTTCTAGTTATGTGGTGTGGGGAATTCACCTCACTTCTCAGTCTTACTGTCCGCACTATGAAATGGAACTTACATTTCTAACAAAAATTCAGGGTGTAAGGGTCAAATAAGATAGCAGCTGTGTCACCTCAAGAAGTACATATTTCTTAAACTGTGGGAAAATACACATAAAATATACCACCTTAGCCATTCTTAACTGCACAGTTTAGTAGTGTTAAGTAGACTCACATTATTGTCTACAGAACTCCTTCCATGTTGCAATGCTAAAACACAACAACAGCTCTACTTTCCACCCTCCAGCTCTACTTTCTGACTCTCTGAATTTGACTATTTTAGGTACCTCACATAAGTGGAATCATACAATATTTGTCTTTTTGGGACTCATTTTATTTAGCACAACAGCCTCAAGGGTTATCCATGTTGTAGCATGTGTTAGAATTTCCATCCTTCCAAGGGGGAATAATACTCATTGCATACATACACAGCACATTCTGTTTTTCATCTATTCCTCTGTCAATGGACACTGGGATTGCTTTTACATTTTAGCAATTGCAAATGAGGCTGCTATCAACCTGGTTGCACAAAGCTCTTTGAGACTCTGCTTTGAATTATTTTGAGTATGCTCCCAGAAGTGGAATTGTTAGATCATATGGTAGTTCTATTTTTACACTTTTGGGAACACCCCATACCATTTTCCATAGCAACTGCACCATTTTACATTTATACCAACAGTGTACCAGGGTTTCAGTTTATCCATACCCTCACCACCACTTTTTAAATAATACATCCTAAAGGGTATGAGTCTGTCAGTGGTTAACATTTTCGAAGTAATGTAACGGTTATTTTTAGCTCACTGAAGCCTTGTGAACTACAGGGGTATTGCTTGGGAGATTTGAACCTCTGTAGTACTGATTAGGTGAGGCCCCCATAGGAAATAGAATTACGGATGTGATAACCTCCAAACCAATGTCCTGTGCAAAGATTACTGGTTCAGGGAAAGCAAACCTGACTGTGCCCCACTCGTCCTCTTTCAGCAAATGTTCACTAAGTGTCCACTCTACAGACCAAATACAACTTTAGACAGCCAAGTGGCCTCAAAGATTGCTTTTGTATGTGCAGTGCTGGGGATTCAGCCAGAGTTTCATGCAGGTCTGGCAAATGCTCTACGATTGAGCCATACCCTAACCGTTTTAATTTCATTTTTTGAGATAGGTTCTCCCTAAATTTCCCAGACTGGCTCAAACTCATGCTCCTGCCTCAGCCTCCAGAGTAACTAGGACTACAGGTGTGTGTCACTGTATCTGGTTTAAATAGTGCATTCTAATATCAGAGAGAGAGAGACAGAGGAAGAGAGATGGAGGGGGAGGGGAGGGGAGAGAGAGGGAAGAGTAGGGGGAGGGGAGAGCTAGGAAGGAAAAAACATACAAGAAAATATTTGAGACAAATGCAGCAGACAAATTAAACAGGCGATGGAAGAGTGATGAGTGCCTGCTCCCGACTTGCAGAGCTGTGAACCAAATTTGGGGTTGGACTGGGCGATCTCTAAAGCCTCTTCCGGTATTAACATTGAGAATTTCTTCTGCTTGCTATAGCTGGAAAGTAGATGTGATGCATTTGGGTTTTTTCTTTATCACCCACAGGTGGGAGTTCGGGTGGAGAACATAAGCCAAGTTGTGGGAAAAGGCGGTGATATGAGGCCAAGGGGCCTTCAGGTTAAATCCGTGTTCCATTCTTCCGGTCCCACTGTCAGTTAATCCCCAAATGAGACCATGAGTCTCAAGGACTCACAGTCTTCTTCATGCTGTTGCCACTGCCCTCCAGTTGTCCCCACGTTCAGCTTGGAATGACTTCTTTGTGGTCTCTCTGCTTCTGCTCTGAGCCCCGCTAATCCTCCATTTACTCAGCTGTTAGACAAATCTGTTTAAAAACACAAATCTGATCATGCAAGTCCCTTATATGTTCAAAATCCTTCAATTTGGCTCCCCTAAAGCTTTCAAATAAGCTCCAACTCTTTGGCTTAGCACCTCAGACCCATCCTAATCTCACCCCTACGGATTTTTGGAATCTCCAGCTGACTTCCATCCTCCTAGGGTCATTGAAATGTTTACATTTCCCCACACCTGTGCTGCCCTTCGGTGTCCTGGACCTCTGAAGGTGCTGTTTCTCTGGCAAGGAATGCCTGTCTTTCTCCCAACTTTGTGAACTAGCAAATTCCTGCTTATTTACAATTTAACTTGTGGCACTTTGGAATCTGTATTGGTTGCCTGCTAGGTGCTAGCTACTAAGGTTACAAAGAGGATTGAGTACTCCTTGATCTTCTGGAGCTCCTGGATGAGGGAGACAGATGGAAATGGATCATCCTAATGTAATGCAGGAAATAATTAAGTACATAGCACATGTCTGCTGCAGGGACATAGAAAGGCGTTCATGATGCAATTGGGAGTGCAGAGAAAGCTCCACAGAGATGGCTTCTCAGCTAAAAGCCAGCCAAGAAAAGAAGGGTGGAAAAAGACAGTTCAGAGAGAGAACAGCATGAACTGCAGTCACAGTGAGGGTAAACGGCATGGTGTGTATAGAAAGAACCAGCAAGTCCACACCACTGAGGCCCTGGTGTTCAGAGACTGGAGTTGAAGAAGAAGATAGAGGCCAAGTCTTCTGGGAGGCCTTGGGCTCCATCTTCAGGTGGGCACGAACTGCTGCTGAGTTTACCGTTGAGCAGCTAAATGCAACTTTTAACTGATGCATCTTTCAAGGGCCCTCTGCAAAACAGCAATTCCCCTTCACTCTGCCTATGTTTGGCTGTGTGTGGCCAGGCTTATGCAGCCCGGTGCAGCGAGCCTTCCCCAGTGCAGCGCCTTGGAGGCTTGGAGCCACATCTCCCGGTGCTTTCTTGGCTGGAGTTCTTCCAGCAGAGGTGTCCATGGGAGGCAAAGGAAATGGGCACAGGGCATGTCCCTTGGGGAGCAGCCCTGGCCAAGGATGCTGTGCTATGCTGGGTTCCTGATGGAGTGATCCTATGTGGATCCTAGACTTTTTCCTTACCTGTAGCATACAAGCTCCTCCCTCATCTTCCTGGTAAATCTCAAAATAATCTAATAAATCCCTTCCTGGCAACAATGGATTCAGTCATCTGCAACAAATGAAAACCACTGGTTTGCCTGTCTTGACAGCACTGATAAGCACCCAGCATACTTTCCACTTCCTGGATCAGTATGCAAACCTCTTGAGGACAGGCACTTGGTCAGGATGCTCTACTTTTTGCTGCTGTAACACCAGTACCTACAAACACACTTGCCCACGGGGGGGCGCTCCATAAAAACGTGGTGACTCAGTAAAGATTTACAAGTCTTCCAGAATCCATTTGAGACAGGAACCATATCTTATTCCTCTTGATAACCCAACACTAGCCCTGTGG